TGCGCGGAAGTTGCGTAAAGGGGTCTTTCTTGTTCGGCGTCTGGCGCGCGTTTGAGACGTTTCACGTGTGCGAATCGCCGCTGGTCCAGTGTGCCACTCGCCAACAGCCCAAAAGTGCCGAGACGCGCTTCCCCTTATCTCTCCTTGTGTTCCTCTCCGCGGCCCGTACGCAAGCGAGCGTGAGCGGTCCGTCTGGCAAGTGGCGAGTGTCCTTCTCTCCTTTGCTTCCTCTTACGTTGGACCACTGCGACTGTGTACGCGCGCGCGTGTGTGTGTGTGTGTGTGTGTGTGTGTGTGTGTGTGTGGGAGGGAGGGGGGTGGTGGTGGTGGTGGTGGTGGTTGTTCCGGAAGGGATGGGGGTGCTTCTCCCGAGGAGGCGTGGTGTAAGGTATAGGTACGTGTGCGGTGGTCGAAAGGTGGGTTCTCCGCGTCTTACGTGCCGCGCGCGCGTCCTCCTCGTGTCGCGATAGTCTCGGGAGGTGGGTGGCTTGAGGTTGTACGACGGCGTTGACGACAGTAGCGCTGCAGGTGGTGATGGTGGTGGTGGTGGTGGTGGTGGCGAAATTCTTCAGTACGAGTAAGTGGTGTGGGTGTGCGTGAGGGTGTGGGTGTCTGGTGAGTCCGGCTGTGGTGAGAGTGTGTGGGTGTTAAGGCTGGTCAAGCCCCGGCAGCACCCCACGGAGAGCGCTCCGTATGATAAGGCCGCCGCTTCGCTACTGAGCGCCGAGCGCCCAAGATAAACCACCCTAACCCTGCCACCCGCGGCAGCCGCCCGTCCATCTCTTTCCCTTGGCTGTACGTGTGCGTCGCTGGTAGTCGTCGACGACCCCCTGAGAACACTGCCTACGCGCCCGCGTCCATGTGTGTGTGTCTATGCCCGCCCCCACCCCAAGGCCACGCTCTTCCCCGAAGACGAGCTCTCGCTCTCTTTTTCTCTTTCGCGTTGTAGCTCGTGGACCCGGTGGTAGCGGGCGGAGGAGGAGATGTGCAACCCTTAACCACCTCCACTGCCAGCCGAGTCTTATCCCCTCCAGCGCGTGGAGATAGACTTCCTCCACCACCAGCGCTACCACGACCACCCCTGCCCCGCGATCGCGTAAGGGGTGAAAAACACCCCCTCCGAGCGCAGTGAGCCTTCCCCCACCCGGTGGCGTGCGCGCGCGAGTTTTACCTCCACCCGGCTCCCCGTGCCGGACAGTTGCTTCTTCTCCTACCTTTTCCTCCCTTCCTTTCCTCGCGGCCCCGTCTTTTCCTTCTCCACACCGCGATGCCCTGCATCCGTACTTCCCATCCCCCTCTCTCTCCCCGTGTCTTAAGATAAAAACACGGACAATCAAGTTTTGTATGGTTAACCCACTCGACCGCTCTGCCCCCCCCACCCCCTGTCCTTCTCGTCCCTATACCCTTCTTTCTCTTTTCTTGGCTCTTTGGTTTTTACCCTTTTTTTTTTTCTGTCTCTCCCTCGCGTTATTATTTCAACCTTGAAAAGAGCCCACGTTCTGCCTTTTCATTAAACATTGTTTGCCGATTATCTTGCCCCACCCCCTTGCTCCGTCATTTCAATACCCCGATTTCCTCCCTTCGTATTGACAATCCTTTCTTATTTCGGTCGACTGAGCGGAAACGGTTTCATTGTTCGCCGTAGCCCGAGGATTTTAAGAATTTCCCAACATTTAATCAAAACAAACAACACTTTTTATTCCCTAAATGTAAATTTTACTTTTTTCTATTGGATGGACCGTCGGTTGTAGTTGTATAGTTGATCGTTTTCTCAAACTCAAGTGCATTCGGTCACAAAACTTCAACTATACCGCCATAGCCATTTTATCGATAGCTACTGTCTTCGCAATAAATACTGCCAATGTCATTACTATTGATGAAAATTATAAATATACATAATAAATGTAAACCAAAAAAAAAAAAAAACCAAATCATCAGTATCGCTTTAGCCAATAACTTAATCAAGGTCTCACCAAAGAAAAATATACGACCCTCAAAGTCTTGGTATTGTCAGCCGAATAGACGCACACTGTCAATCGCATCCCCCTCCTGTTCCCGATAAACAGTCCAAGCACCGTTCGTCAAGGGGAGCACAGAGATACACGCACCGAGCGAGGGGGGGGGTGGCTGCCTCACCCCCACCTCCCTTACCATCCGGTTGACTTTTCGATACGTGTGTCCATACACGTTGGCTCGCGTTTTTATTTCGCGCGTTCGATCTACACGCGCGCGTGTGACGAATTCGTGGCAATGTGCTCGATGCACCCCCCCCCCGCCACCTACCACCCCACCGACGTCCCTGTTGCCGTACCATTGTCCACCAAAGAGTCGCTGTCTAACCACGAAGGGGCTTCTTATTCTTCTATCTGTCATTTCGGGGAGTTTACACGTGTTTCCGTGTCTGGTCATTGTGCCCACCCGAGGCGGAACTATAAATAAACGTAACGATAAATTAAACGATACGGTTTATCTTTCAAAGTTTCCTTGCCAGTCGTGTGATCTGTGATTTTTGCATTGTCCGTGGAGTTGTAGTTAATACCTAAATCGGGAGAACTCGCAATTTCCGGTGTAAATTATTATCAACATTTGACGTGCACTCGCGATATGGTTAAAATAAATCAGTTTGCATATTTAAAATAGGGGTTCATTCAAAGTCCCCTCAGATTTTGTTGTATTTGTGCATTATTCAGATGGTTAATTTCACACATGGCTCATGCAAGCACTACAGCTACAGACACAGGCGGACGAATCGAGAGACGAGAGCTTTATTTCACATGGCGCATTCAACCAGCTTGGCATAAATAATCGGATGGACGTTCTTAGCCGAGACGTTTTATTATTGAACCACCTAAAATGCAAACCAAAAATCCACATGTACTACCTCTCAGTCCTAATTGAAGTACAAAATTATATAGTTTAGAGGAGAAAGATGAATGAAAAGACCAGCTTCGACCACAGCGATTTTTCCCCCAAAGTTAATTCGAGCACAATCGGTGGCACCCACTTTCCCATCCTGCCGCGTGAATGTACACCTCCGGAAATCACCCTCCCCCCCCTTACCGATCAGCAGAGGGGGACAACAACAACAACAATAGCGGCCGATGGGCTCGTCGTTTATACTTTTGCGGCGTGCACGTATACATTCCGGCGTCCCCCTTTCGCCCGCCAGAGCGACGAAAAGGGGGGCATTGGCTCCAATTGTTTATGACTCGATTCGTTTGATTATTAGCTGTTTATACGCGCATCGATCGCCGGCCCCGGCGTTTCGCCGCGTATACATTTGTGGCTTGGACCGCAGTGGCGGACGGTCTCGTCGGGCTGCCGGTTTTTTTCTTTGTACACGCGCTCGGACCATACCGGATCAACTGGTTTCTTTTTTTTTTTTTTTTTTTTTTTTTTTTTTTTTTTTTTTCTCGTAGCGCCGAAAGAGTAGTTTGCCACTAAGGAGCGTCAGACGTGCCGGGGGGACTGGGTCGACCGCTTCGCGCTGGAGTGCCGAGTTTCGCTGGCTCGAGTGAGTCGCCACGGAGTTTACGTTTCATTTTGATTTTATAAGAAAAAAATAGGATTTACTTTCAGTGATTCAATTTTTGTGGTGCGGTTGGTGCTTTTATTTACAAGGTTCTCTTGCCTGTTTAATCATTCCAAACTGTTTTATGTTTGATCGAATATTTATCGTGGCTTTGATAAATTACAAGCAATAAATAACAAATAAAAAGAAGAAAAAGTTTTTCAATAAAGTGTGTCACCAATCGCGATTGCTATCGAAACTTTCAAGTTGGCTTCGTGCTCCGATCTCGCTTCGTTAAAAATAAAGTTGCCGAACAGCTTTTTCGTGGTCATAAAAGCGAAAAAAAAAAAAGACGATAGTTGATATTGAATCGAATTGGAAGTATTGACAAAGTTAGTATGGGCCACTTAGCCGTCGGACTACCACTGCCGCCAGCGCTCGAAATCGAGTGGGACTCGTATACGCGTTACGTCTGACAGGGCAGGCGCATATCTACTCCCAAGGAGCTGGAGCGTATTGAAAAAGCCAGATAGGTACTCTCGTTTGAACAGACTGTAGTTTTTAGGATTGTTTTTATTTTTTATTTTTTATCACAATTCTATTAGTTTCTTATGTATCCCGAAAAATTTTGTGTTTATTCTGGTGGTAAAAAAAAAATCACAGATTGAAATAAAAAAGTAACGCGTCTAAAATTGGTGACACAGTTATTCGCAACTGTAAGTAAATTTTTTTTTTTTTTTTATCAAAGTCCAGTTACATGTGAGCTTTTAATGTTTTAAATTATTCAAGTGATGTATAATTAACACACTATTAGCACCTTATTACCGATGATCATTCAAACAAATGACCTGGTCACGAATTTGTTCAATGAAATGAATGTTTCAATTGCAATCTGTCAAAAATCAATTGACCAAAGTCTCAATAAAATGAATTAATGGTATCAAAAGTAGGTGTTTCATATTGAATTATGTAATGAATAATCATAATCAATGAATTATCAATTAAAATAATTACTCATTACTACTTTACGCATGATTAATTTTCACGAAACCCGGCACTCTGTTTTTTTTTTTTTTTTTTTTTTTAATTTACATTTAATTTTATTCGTTTTAGATGAACAAGTCCAACGTGACGTCCACTGCGAGCTGTCATCACACCCGACAGAGTTCAAACACGATCTCGCCAGTCCACCGAACCACCACTGCCAACCGTGTCCACTTGTCGAAACTTCACTTGGGCCAACATCATCACAGTCACTTTATCACTCAGAGTTCACGTTTTCATCACTTTTTTTCGAATTCCCTTGTGCACATTTACCATTTAATACGACAGACAAAATGGAAGTGGAAGATAAAAAAAAAAAACAAACAAAAAAACATCCCTTAAGAAAATCAACACCACGTGAGTCGAAAGACTGCGTCGCAGCGAAAAAGCTCTCTCGATTCGTCCACCCGTAAAAGCTTTTAAACACCCTCCTCGCAAAACTCACCTTTCTCCATCGACGAGACGGTCCGACCGTCGTCGAGGTCGCAAATAAATCGCCTATGTTATCCGCACTTGCGATCTTGACTACTTTCTTCTCGCACTGCCGTTGCTCCTTCACCTTCTCCTCTTCATCCGAACTTCACTATCGAGTCATGTGTCTCTTCTCGGCTACCACCACACCTCTTGTGAACCAACAATAAAAAAAAAAAAAAATAAATAAATAAATAAAACAAAATAAACTCCTCGAAAGCGGTGCCCGCAAAAATCCCACTGGGGACGAAATCTTTGACAACGGTATGAATATCAAAGACAACGATAAGAAGGCCACCTGATGGTTGCAGTGCTGTACGGTGTTTTACCAACAACAAACAACGGGTACGGGGTAAAACTGGGCAGGGTAAAACAAAAGGAAAAAAAAAAAAAAAAAAAAAGAATGAAAAAAGAAAAGGGAAGATGGGAGACGGAGTTAGGTGTACGTACAATGGAAACTCAATTACATTGCACCCGGTAGGTATACGTGTCCACGGCACGGCTCCCCGCATGTATTATATCCTCGAAAAAAAAAAAAAAAAAAAAAAACAAAGGATCACGAACAGGGTTGATTATGTATATCCGCGCACACGCGTCGTCTTGGTCTTATCTCGGCTCGGTGTCCTCGCGCGTTGCGTTTGTCCGGCGCGCGCCTTGCGAGTAGAGTAGTATCAGAGTCGGCGGCGGCCGGTCGGCGGTCTGTCTCGAGACGTCCAGCCCGAGGACGACTTGAAGAAGGAGGCGGAGGAGTAGGCGAGCGAGCGAGAGAGAGAGAGAGAGACACACCGGGGCGCGCTTGTCGGGTGGCAGCAGCGTCGGCGCGGGTGGCGGCGGCGATCGGCGCTGCTGGTAGGCGAACTTGCGGGCTTGCGGGCGCGCAACTGGCGGAGCGGCGGCCGTGTAGGCGGAGGAGTGTGCTGTCGCACCGACTGAATGTGTGCCCGTGCACACAGGCTAGCACCTCATCCAGCTGCCGCGGCGGCGACGGCCAAGATGATATCTCCCGCGCGGCTGCACTCGGATCGGGATGCTGCGTGGGCTCCAATGTGTGCGGGTGTATACAGAGACGGACACCGGCTTCCCCCACGTACGTACCGTACATATACATCACGTGTGGGAAGCGGGACGCGCGCACTGCCCGGACAGTGGCGCCTCCGCGGCTGGTTGCCGCAAGCTCCGCGGCTGGCTCTCCCCGTGCGTCGAAGCGAGAGCTTGCACTCGGCCGTCCGAGAACTCGGAGAGGGGGTGCTTCGAGATGTCGTGGCTCCTGAAAAGGAGCGAGAGATAAGATGGGCTGCACGCAACCCCTTTGCTCCGTGATATCAGGGGGGAAGGGGGGAGGGGCGAAGGGGCGAGAGAGCTCGTATGGTTTGTTTGTTGGTGGCACACGTGTACGTGCACGAGGTGGTTGCGCCCGCCCTTGCCCCTCGCGCGTGTACGTGATGACCAAGTGGACCGGGGTGGCTTGGAGAAGGGGTGGTGCGTGTACGTATACGTGAGCCGATGACCAGGCCGAGGTTGTGTGTGCCGGCAAAGGCTTTCTCCTTCTTGTGGACGGGACGACGTTTTTGGGGGGATGCAGGGTGCAATCGGAGGGAAGGGATGCGTACGTGTGAAAGGGGAAGACATTGCTGCTCTCGCGATAAGAAGTAGCTCCCCTTACCCCGCACGCTCCCTTCCCCAACGGATCCTTTTTTTTTCTACAGACCCTCCGAAACTCTTTTTCCTCGTGGAAAAAAGATTCAAGGTTAAGTTGGTCTTTCACCAAGGCACCAACAAATTATCATGGCGAATTTTTTTTTTTTTTTTTTTTTTTTTTTTTTTTTTTTTATGCCCTTTGAAAAGCCAAAGTTTGTTTCCAGCAGTAAAACAATCGTGAGCGTTTCAAAAAACGCACGATCAAACAATCTTGCCGGAATCGAGTAATGAAATGACAAATGAAAAAAAGTCGCACCGAAACTCACGCACGAGCGTATAAAGCTCGGTTCTCCTGAATGGGAGCTTTTTAACCCCCTCCCCACACCCTCCTGGGCCAAGCTGTTCTGGGATCAGCCGCAGCTTTCATTCACAAACGGCGCTCCTTTTTAATAATTTATTTTCGCTTCTTATTCGGGCCAAGAGCGAAAAAGAGCAGCCGGAGGGTAGGAGTATGAGACAAAGACGGGCAACAACCCCCCGCCCGACTGCCCCTACTCTTGATCATGCGCGAAGGTCGAGGAGGAGAAGGAGAAGAAGATCGGAGTAGGCTAGAGGCTCGCGGTCGTTTTGCTCGTGCGCTAAATAAGGTCGGGGGGGTTGCTTGGCGGGAGGAGCTTGCGCGTGTGGTGGTGAAGGAAGTAGGGGCTGGAGTCGGTGTGTGGGTGCCTCGGAAGAAAAATCGCTCGGGTAGGTGGTAGTGGAGGAGACTGTAGTGGTAGTGGTGGCGTTAAGGGTCCGGTAAGGAGGGTGTGGGTGAAGCGAGAGAGAAGACGAAGAAAGGGTTGCCGGACAGTGGCGAGCTCGTTGCTTAGGTGGACGATGCTCGTACTAACTTCGAGACGATCGCACACGGGGTAGGGGCTGCAGTTTACGCACGTCGATGCTGGACTGCAATCATTCGTTTCCCTTTGGTACTAATTACTGAGTGACAAATTAAGGACACATTATTTAACAAATAACTAAAATAATGATAAAAAATGTACATTACGAATTGAAGCGCATTAGTTAACAAAAAAATTTTACCCTGAATATACATGGCAGCAATCTCAATGTTTAAAAAATAATCAAATTAATCTCTGATTAGTTGTGTATGAAATTAGCAATACCCAATAAATCGATTTGACAATCACAAAGAACGAATGAAGTAAGGATGCATTTATATTTTTGGCATTTTTTAAAGGCCTCTTTAGAATTACTAACATACAAAAAAAAATTGTTCAATTCAACAGAGCTGGTAAAATAGTTGAACGATAAAAACACCATGATAAAAAAAATATTCGTTTCAGCTAAAAGCTCACAGGTTGTTCTTACAAGACACTTACAAACGGGTGGGTAATAAATAAACTGTCACACCATCGATCAACAATTAGCAATTTCATCGCAAACAATTGTCGAAAAGCCAAGCAAAGCCGAGCAAAATTCAAATTCGAGGCCAAGATCGTGCTGCTCCCTTCAGCTGGAATGCCCAAGCGTAGAAGAAGAGGCGCTCCCTCCCCCCCGCGTACCCGACTGACGTCAGATTGGTCAATACGGAGACAAGACTTTCGCCGCACCGCATCATATATACCTACATAGACAACACCATCTCGGGAAAAAGCTCGAGCGATGCGCGCACGCTTGCTTCATCGCACCAAAGCTCTCGATCATCCGCCTGTATTTTTATCCCCCCTTACCCTCCTCGCTACATCCTTGCGGGAAAGCTCGCGCGCGCGCGCGCACAGTTTTTAAGGTCACTTGTTGCTTTTTAATCCATGCTGCAGCGGAGCCCGCTTCTTTTCCTCTACTCGGTGTACATAAGCTAGCTCTTACGTGGGTATGTATACAAGAGCGAGTGGGCGGAGATAAAGAGGACCTTCGTGGTGCTCTCTCTCTCTTTTTTTTTTTTTTTCCTTTCTTCGCTGTGTACTTACACCGAGCTTTTTCTCGTTCTTCCGCTCCCGTTCTCGCTGGGACAGCTTTATCGTTTTACAATCCACTGGAGACGCTGTAATTAAATGCACAGCTGCTGGTCAGACGCCAAGATGGGCTTGTTGTGCTTTCTTTTTTTTTTTCCTCCCGAGGAAATTGATTACCCTTTACACCGACCTAATATCGTATGTTTATTTCACAGCATGTTTTCTTGGCTTACCGTAGCTTTTTTAATTGCAGAGCAAGATTGATGTTGCAATTTTCTTTTATTTGGATGGATTTCATTACAAAAATGTTATGATATGATCGTTTTGCACAGAGTTTCGTATTTTTGTACAAGTTACGAAAGTTGGCCCATCAAAGCAGGGGATGCCAACGAATGTTCCGAGTGGAAGGAGATGTGTAAAAATGATGAAAAGTACGGTAAATGTCGGTTAGGCGTGGAGTTCGAATGGAAAAATTCAAGTGCCAGAGTTTTCACTTTGAGCGCCGAGTAAATCCAGCGAAAAGTCGTCGAAAACGTAATCCGGCAAAAGAAAAATCCAAAAAGGCCTCGGTTGAGTGGGGCACACAAGCCATTTCTTTTGCAAAAAAAAAAAGCTCAGGGATGAAACCAAATCACCCAAAAACTACAGTCATACCCCAAGACATCCCGATTGGAAGCAAGCGATCGAGAGAGGCATCCGAGTCTGGCATTTTTATTCACCGATTTTAACGTCACTTGTTGCTTGTTTAGTTATGTCGGTGGTATATGTATGCATACATACACTGCACAGCCGCGTGTAAGCACTCCCGGTACGCGTACCTATACAGCACACACATACACACACAGAGAAGCGCCGATTGTCTAAGCGTGCTGGCACGCGGCATATTGGACCGATAGGTGAACGCCCTGTCGATTTCATTTTTACCGCTGTACCACTATCATATGTGGATACAACCACTGGGCACCGATGCCGCCACAGCAACAAGCACCAGACAAGGCAGAGACACACCACCGGCGAGCGCGCACACCGGCCCAGCTTTACCGCCGACTTTTTTCCGAGCTCTCCTTTTTTTTTCCCTCACCACACCCCTTTGCGCGTCCACGGTCCTCTCTCTCCTGCTTCGCTTACGTGTTTTTGGTTTCTTTCGTTTCGCTTTCCCTCCACCTTTTTTTTTTTTTTTTTTTTTACGCGTTTTTCTACCACTGTATGCCGTTGTTTTTGTTTTCATTCGCAGCTTTTAAGCTCCCTTCGCGTGGCTGTCTCTTTTTCACCGCACTGCTCACATTTGTTTGTCTCTTGACATCTTCTTTCTAATTCACTCGCATCCTATACCCTCCTTCTTTTTTTTCTCCCTCTCTCACTCTCTCGTTTGTTGTGGAATGTACGATTGCGGCTCCAGAGAAATGTATACGCTTTAGAGGCGGACTCGTGTGTATAGCCTCGCGTGGACTTAATATTGAGTTGAACTACTGTGACTTCCGTTGGCGTGTGCGGGTTGTTGAGTCGCACCTATACTTAATCCAATTTCAAGGTGCATCTCTCGTTCGATCATTGGTTTTACTGATTAGGTAACACTGCGAGGACTTTGATAAATAATATGGTTGTTTCATTAAATATGTTGTATTGTTGTCTATCCATGTGAGCTATACGATGGATATAGACGGATTTTCAATCTTGAGTAATAATGTAACGTCTACCTATACTTACCTGATGAAT